GGTTAACTTTTCACTTACAGGTTTCGTTATTCGCCCATGAGTGCCACACTCCTGTAGTGTAGACTGGCGAGGTCCCGTGGAGGTAATTTCAGCAGGGTGTTTTGCTTTGAGGTGATACGCTAAAGACGTGCTACTTCTCTGGTAATTAAATTCGGCTTTGCAAACTCTGCAAATTGCCTTGGTTTTGTCCAACGAGCCGTCGGGCAACTTTTTAAAATGAAACTTTCCCCCTAAAAGTCCGCCCTTATCCATCTTTCCGCCATAGACTCTCCTTTAGTTAGGATAGATGTTTGCCCGCGCAAGTGACCAAAGGTTATGGGTCAGCCGCGACCGGAAGTAGTCAGCCGCAACCGGAAGTAAACAAAACCACGTTAATTGCGTTACATTTTTTTAATGCATTAAATGTTTAAAATTAATCGCCAAAATTAACGCGCTAACTTTGATAGCACTAATATATATATATATGTGTATGTGTATATATATGTATGTGTATATATGTGTATGTGTATATATATGTATGTGTATATATGTGTGTATATATATATATATTAGGGATGTAACGATACCAAAAACACACGGTACGATAATATCGCGATAACAAGTCCTCGGTACGGTATTTATCGTGATATTGAATAATAAAGAATAAAAAAAAATTCAATTTTTTTTTTTAAATACAATTTGTTTTACTCGGAAAACGTTTCTTTATTACATAATACATCTGATTTGTAGTAGGATAGCAGTATTTTAAAGTGTCAAAAACAAAGTGACAGTAACAGACTGGAACAAGAAAACCAGTGTTTTTGTACCTATAGTACTACCAAACAAAGTAGGCATTTTCTTTGTGCCACTGCATCTCACAAATAAACAAGGACATTTAATAATCAGACCCTGCAATAAAATAAATCAAGTTTCACTTTAGTTTTTCAAGTAACTCAACTCAAACTCACTAGTCACTCACTCAGCATCATCAGACAGGTTTTTAGGAATATGAGAATGTCCACATTTCCAGGTATTTATAAGCTGGGATGTTTGGGCATTTACAATATCCCCTGCTCTGGAAAAAACTCTCTCGCTTGGTACTGATGTTGCTGGGACAGCAGTGGTCGCGTTAACCGAATATTTTATTTATCAATGACGGAAAAATCTGAAAGCAGTCTGTCATTTTGACAGATTAGAACAAACTCGGAACAGCGCCAACATTTCCCCGCAGCGAGGCTCTGGTGTTATGCCGTGTTATTCATGCCCTCCAAAAGAAAATGATATAGTTTCCAAACCGTACTTTGCCGTACAGATCAACACATGTCTGGGAGGTTTTGCTTTAAGCTGTGTGCGCTCCCGCGAGGTGCATGCACACACGGCATAACCCCCCCCGTTGACAGTTCACGAGCGTGCTCTCTCTCTCTGTTCAGACCCGACGGGTAATAAGGGATTATGACTGACATTTTAAGATCCTGTCTGTCAAAATGACGGACAGCGAAAAAGTCTAACGCCACCTCAGTGGGACGGAGAGATATGCTTTGGCCATGGGTGACAGCAGTGGGTCAAACTGTGCATTGTCTCTCCACCACTTCAAAAACAATACAGTTTTTGCCAAGAAGGTGAGGTTTATTGACAGAGATATACTGTTGGTACTTGTCAATGTCTCTAGGTGTGTTAATGTAGCACTGTAAATACGATGTCCTTTTGTGTTCTGTTGTTTTATGTTCATGTTGTAACCTACTTGCTGCCATGTTGGACAGGTCTCTCTTGAAAAAGAGATCGATGATCTCAATGGGACCACCTGGTTAAATAAAGGTTTAAAACAAAAAAAAGTGTTTTTTAAAAAAAAATATTTTTTTTTTAAAAATCGCGGTAGATTTAGTCAGTCTCACGACGGTATTGGGACGTTTATTTACCGCGATATTCGGTATATCGTTACATCCCTAATATATATATATATATATGTGTTATAGCATAGTCTTCCCAACAGAGCTGGCCAGCTAACCAATCAGAGCAGACTGGGCTCGGGTTTCAGGCAGAGGGTGAAAAGAGGTGCTGCAGCATAGGCAGTATGAGAAAAATCAAGTGCTTTTGGAACATTAAAGCATGTAAACATGTCACAGGAGAGGCACAACATAGAACCTTACATTTGCATAATAGAGTCCCTTTAATTTCAACTGAATATATTTCTCTTTTTCTAAATCTATTTATTTTAAACTACTGTATATATACACTCATAAAAATACAAGTTAATCTGGCACTTTATACAGACAACATTGTAATAAAGGAGCTGTCATGTGAACATATGGTACTTCTTGCCGCTAGTGATGCTTCAACTTTTCAACAACTGAGAATAAAGTAATAAGAGCTGATATTGCTGGTTTCTGGCCCCCTGGAGTTATACACCACTTGAGCTGCAGAAAACGGACAGCTACATTTTTTATCGTGCTGCACTGATAATAATTTCCCCTATTTTAATCTACAGTCTGCTCTCTTTAGCTGTGTTATTCAGTCGGCTATTCTCTGCAAGAGATTTTTTCATTTGCTTCTATAACCGTTGAAAGCCTAATTTCATTATGTAAATGGTATAAATGGAATGAGCGAAAGATAATTGAACGGAATCCCTGAGAGCATGCATTTGAAATTGTTAATCACAGAACCACCTCACAGTTCATTGCAGCAGAAATAAAACTTCCCAAAACAATTTGTATAGCCATCGCTATGTGACTGCTGTGTTTAGTTGGAACAGAGGTTTAGCGTTCATATTTATTTTGACTTTGCCCATTTACAAATTGTATTAAAACTCGACAAGATCCTTGATGTTCAGCCTTGCTTTTTCTTTGGGATACCGAAAGTCATAAGCTACAGTATAAAAAGGACAATTATAATGTCGCTGTTGTTTTCTTTTTCATACACAGAACCCTCATGCCTATAGCTGCTTTCAGGCGTACAGTACTTTAGAGTCCTGCCGTGCATGTTTCAGTGGTACATTAAAGCAGTGGTTCCCAACCTTTTTTCCCAAGAGCCCCCCCAAATGACTCCTGTTGGAAGTTGCGCCCCCCCCCCCCCCCCCCCCCCCCCCCACCATATATATACACCATATATATACACCATATATATACACCAGGCACAAATTGTTGGTATTACATTTTCAGTGTTGGGCTCATTAATATGAATGAGGTCTGTCTGACTCGCACGCACATACACACACACACACACACACACACACACACACACACACACACACTGCACTACACATGCATCATGCAGATTTACTGACTTGTGTGCACACACCCATATGTAGAGACACAGGCACACACACACACACACACACACACACACACACACACACACACACACACACACACACACACACACACACACACACACACACACAAGGGGGGTGGGGGGGGTGGGGGCGCAACAGCGGTAATTAAAGTTTAAAATTCTCAAAATGCTACAACTACTGTCACAAACTGGATGAATGATGTATTTTGTTAAAGGAGGATGTAAGCGTAATTAAGGAGCACTATTGGAGTGACTTTGATGGTTATTGGACTCAGGATTAATTCATTTGGATTCCCGCTGTATGCAGAAATTAAAGGACGGCGCAAGTGGAAACAATTCACAAAGGGATTAAACTGTTTAAAACACATGCTCAAAGTAAGCCGGATTTTGCCGATGTGTTTATGTGGATTCAAAAGTCGTAAATAATCTACAAAATGGAGGAGACCAATCTAATCGGAGCAACTGTGACAAATAATCCAACTGAAACCGGCATGGACAATGACTATGTTTTAAAAATGCGCTTATCCAGACAAGCCTGGTTTGGACACTTAACGCGCAGAAGAAACATTTATATTAAAGAAAAAATTATACATTTCTGTCTTTGTATGCCTTTAATAGCTACTAACTTGAATTTGTATTCAAATTAATTAATCAATTATTTTTTATATTTTATTGTAATGTAGAGACAAGGCTTTTAGTGACTGTGAAAGAATATTTTAATCCAAGCTAATTGTGCTTAAAACTTTAGATAGTGAGATTCCTTATTTCTCTTTGTGTTTCTTGAATCTTCTCTTGTTTCCGATGGGGGAGGGTTCCCATTGCTCTGCAATTGGAGACAAAGAGCTCTTGTTTTCACATCTGGCGGTCATTAGAAATGAGCGCGGGTTTCTGTGGTTCCGCCTCTTCTCATGTTGGTGCGTGGTATCTCGCCTTTGTGGCAGAGTTGGCCAGGTTTCGTCTGGACAAGGATCGAAGCTTGGCTACCTCTCCGGCTGTAATAATTATACTCTTAAATAAACTCTCAGTGCTGTGGCTAAAGACGAACCAGACTCCCTCATTTCATCTCAACATTGCTACATTATAAGTTTTCATCACAGTGACAATCATGTATTGCGTTACAATTATATGTCAAACAAAATCTAAATATGATATTTGGCCTCAAATCATCTGAGGCCTGGCGTCCCCCCTGCAATCTTTGGCTCCCCCCCAAGGGGGGCGCGCCCCCCAGGTTGGGAACCACTGCATTAAAGAGTCCCATGGCTCCTGATGCTAGAAGATAGAGGGACTTGATGGTTTTTAACTTATATATTTTGTACCGATGTGCTACTGCTTTGTCTCAAGGGAAATGTCTGAGAAATTCTGCAATCCTTGTGAAGGTCAAATGCTGGTTTACTCGCTTTGTTTTACATAGTATATCTTTGGGGTATTCCAGGATCCGTGTTATAAGACACAGATACAAATGTATCACATCAGATGTATACAGCCAATTGAAATAAATGTTGGTATTATCAGCTAATACTTTAGATAGATTTGGTTTGGGTAAAAATGTTTAGTATATTCTTTATGTATATGCAAAAACTATATATTATAGTACATATTTTTACTTGCACTCTGTTGCTAACTTTTGTTATACAGTATACAGTAGTCTGTTGTGACAAGAATATATGTGAATTTAAATGTAATACCGTGATACTATTCATTATTAATACTTCTTTCATTCTTCTTTTTTCTAGGACGTTGTCTGGGGATTGAACTCCTTGTTTACTGTAAGTTTTGCATTTCTTTTTATCTATTAACATGGATTTGTTGTTTAAAGATAAACTGCCTAAATATCATAGAGACCGGTTAAATGGCCAGAACATATATCATTTGTGCAGATTTTAGAAAAATAAATGTTAAACCTATATCTTTGAATGCAGTTTTCCATAAAATCTAAAAAATAAAAGGAAAGTATTAATTAGAACCCCCTATCGTTGACACAAAGTATTGAACTGAATCACATGAGTGTGGTATGTAGGTTAAATCAATGATTGAGTCCAAGCACTGATTATGTCGCTCTTTAAACCTGAAATAATACAATCATTTTAGACATTAGGGAAATTGTCTTTCTCATTATGAACAACACTTTGAGACGTAAGGGAAATAGCAACGCATTATGGTTGTGTAAATGCCTCCCCAGCTGGTTCTGGATGTCCCTTCTTGCTCATTCATACAGTGATTCATTACAGATTATTTGGAAGATTAAGATAACAAATCAGATTTTAAGTTATGTTAAAGGACCAACTGTGGAAATGTTTAATCGTTCAGAATACAATTTAAATATAGACAAGCTAAAGGATTTAATTATGTGAAAATGACTGCGAACATGCTTTCAAATATCAAATGGAATGGAGGATATGTTACAATCTTGTTAATGAACAGGACATTTGTCTGATTAATTAAACATTTGGATGCCAAAGCAACCGTAAATAAGCAGCTGAAAGGAATGAGATTATTTAGTTTGGCCCAGATAGGCATACTTTGCTAACCTCAAGCTTGCATAAATCCATTATCGATTAAATTTACCCAGAAGTCATCACTGGCTCTGATGATAATGATGATGGTAATCTGCATTGATGTGTGGTCATGCCCTAAATCTCACCTCCTAATAAGGATACAAACTCTCAGGCCTTCCTCTTCTTTTATCTCTAATAACACTCCACTTGCCACGCTTGTTGCGCATTGTCTCTACGGCAACATCATCATTATAATGCTTTCTTTTTCCCCACTTGCAGAATCCAGGGTGACATTGCAGACTGTAAATAGTGCTGAATGGGCAATATCTTCCTCTGCAGTTGGTTTTTTGGAAACAAAATGTGCCTTACAGATAGGATTATTGACCTATGCAAAGTTCTCTAATAAGAAGACAAAGCGTTTTGCGTTCATGATTAATCACTTTCATGACTCGCTATTAGGGCTGTAACGATATATTGAATATCGCGACATCGCGGTAAATAAACGTCTCAATACTGTCGTGAGACTGACAAAATCTACCGCGATTTTTTATTTTTAAAAAAAATAATAATAATTTGTCATCTGTCAATAAGCCTCACCTTCTTGGCAAAAACTGTATTGTTTTTGAAGTGGTGGAGAGATAATGCACAGTTTTACCCACTGCTGTCACCCATGGCCAAAGCATATCTCTCTGTCCCAGCAACATCAGTACCAAGCAAGAGAGTTTTTTCCACAGCAGAGGATATTGTAAACGCCCAAACATCCCAGCTTCTACCTGGAAATGTGGACATGCTCATATTCCTAAAAGATAACCTTGATGATGCTGAGTGAGTGAGTTAGAGTTGAGTTACTGGAAAAACTAAAGTGAAACTTTATTTATTCTATTGCAGGGTCTGATTATTATATTGTTGACACTTTAAAATACTACTATCGTACTAAAATGCTGTACAAATCAGATTTATTATTTATCTAAGAATTTTTTTTTAACATTTTTTCCTTTATTTTTCAATATCGCGATAAATATCGTACCGTGGACTTTTTATCGTGATATTATCGTACCGTGAGCTTTTGGTATTGTTACATCCCTACTCGCTATTCTTCAACTTTTTCTCGATAACTTTTTCTGTCCTCACGTCGTCTTCTCTCTTTGCCTCTGATCCAGGACCTGTTGAACTTTGATGACCCTTTGAACATCGATGCAGCAGAACATCATCTGAGAGACAAGGTGAGGCTTTACTGACACATCCAGGGCGATTGTCATCTCCGATTCTGTTTTGGTGTCACACATAAAGCGCAACCAGTGACAGCAGCCGATTCACTTGTGAAGCCTTTTCACAGTTCTTAGATATGCTTATCGTCTCAAAATTCATACACATACAACTTCATTTTCTGCTGCAGCTGTCAGTGCGCACTACTTATGTTTGTAGGTAGAATTATGTGATATTGAGAGGATAGGGCTTTTATCTGGTGAAGTAGGATAAAACAAGGCACAGAATGGCTGTGATAGTGTGCATACAACATAGTTAACATTTTTAACAAAATTAGGTGCCCATACATGACTATTTTATTGTATACCACAACAGCACACTACATATTCAAATCAGCAGCCCAAGCAAATTCTTGACTTCCCCCACACTTCAAAAATGTTTTTATATATACTGTATATATTGTGTGTTAACATTATGTTTCTTTTTGTGCTTTTAAAATGGCGCACAAATGAGTTCTAAACCGAAGAATAAGTGCTCTCCCCGGCTCCGATGAACTCAAATTATTTTAAATGAGTTTCTGGTTAGACTTCTTATATAAGGTCTGTGGTTAACAAAAGCTTACAAGATTTTCCCCCAAAAATAGAAAAGAATAACCCACTTGTGATTGCCTGTAGCATTTACGTGTCTTTAAAACGATTGTTGCAAACAAGGGACAAAAAGGAAACGAGTCAACTTCAACACGTCAAACTTGAGTCAGTATTTAGCTTAGCGGTGGAGTTTTAAAGTAATGTAGTTTGTTTATAGCCTAATATTAGCTATTTACTTGTGGCGATTGCATTAATGCTCCAATTGTTATAACATTGTTGGTTATATGTTGCGATTATCCTGCTGAACAAAACATGAAAGTACCATAAATGTGTGTTTATAACAAAACCTATTTTGTTACTATATTTCAAAATTTACTTTTGGCCGAGGGAGCCCTTGCGATGCTTACATCCGGGTCAGCCTTCAAAAATATATCAACCCTGCACCACCTTGTTACGTGGCATAGTTGAATTCCCAGTTCTGATTGGTCAATTTGGACATTCAGTTGTCTACTTTTTTCTCAATAGCAGATGGTTGCTAGAGGAAGAGACTGTAGCTAAGAACGCTCTGATCAGGCTTCCATATGGTTCAGATCAATCCGCAGAAAGAAGTCCGGTCAATTTATCGGTTTTTGACCACAAAAACACATTATTTTTCAGTTCCTTCATCGGAAAACAACATGGATTACTTTCTGAATATATATATATACATCTGAATGCCTGTTTATGTCTATGTGTGATTTTTTAACTGTACATTAGCTATACTTTATCTAGGCCTTCACATCCAGCAATTTCCAGATAAACAATGATAGACTTTAAGCTGTCTGGGGAGCAGTTTAATGCCAGCCTTCCCCAAAGCAAAACAGATTTTCAAGATGTTTCCAAAAGATAAACACCATGGCTAATTGATTTTTGACTCCCCTTATTCACAATTTTCCATTTTTATCTTGTGTATTTACTCTCTTCCATTCAGTTACATCAGACAGTGTCAGAAAGTTGCAGAAAGTGATGTTCTCCGTGTTTTGCTTACAGTAATCCTGAGTTTGCCGACCAAACTAATGTAACTCTGCCGGCAGCCTGCTGAACCAGAGTAATAGTTGTTACTTGAGCCTGGGTTGAGGCGAGCTGAAAGCATTTTAAAGTAGAACATTTTACCTTTGACATTGTGCGCATAGCCTTTCCCATGATGCATTGGGATGGACCCAGCAGGGCGTGATAATGGCTGCCATGCGACCTCATTAGATTTTAACCGAGTTTGTCGGTGTGTGAGAGGGAAAGACAAAGTGAGTGTGCAAGAAATGAGTGCTGTTTTTTTGCAGAGGTATTCTTCTGAATTATTCTCATAATGCTGTCTTTAATCTCTGAGAAGTTTTGAATTCAAATTATTGAAACTTGTTCTGTTCTACTTAAAACATTTTTTTTTTAAAAATCTGTTGAAATGTCATGTTTTCTGTTTAATTTTGCATCGAATATTTCTTAACTTTCCGGAAACTTTCCGGAAATGTTCTGCCCCTTTGCAACCCTAATAAGGCCACTACTGAATGGATTTCCAGGAAGTTTTTTTTCTGTATCAGAAGGTTTTGAAATGTCAATGTATTTCCTCATAGGATCTAAAGGCAACAGGGTGGTTACTGTACTATATATGTGTTCCATCCACAGTGGCTAATTAACCTCACAAAACGTTGGACGTCGTCTAGAACAGGGGTTCCCAAAGTGGTTTCTCAAACTTTTTCATACCAAGGGACACTTAACCAATAAAAAAAACACTCACGGACCATCTAACTCTACAAATATCCAAAAACAATAGGCCTGCTTCCCTGTTAGAGCCAGTATTTTGATTTGATAAGGAAGGCCACCTAATTGTGACGTCTGTAGTCAACGCACTATAAAGGACTACAATTCCCACGGCGCCTGTGCTAACGCCACAGTGATGGGCAACCTGTTGAGAGACGCCATCGAGGAACAGTTTTTTTAACCGTACTCAACCGTACTCGTAACGTACAAGTACCCTTTAAGTTGTGAAGTTATAAGCATTATCAAGAAAGAAAGAATACCTAAGTTGTGTTGTTTTATTTGAGTTTTGCCTATTTCTTTTGAATATTGTAAAGGCCTATTTTTCTTTGTTGCATGTGCAAAAGATTGTTATTTTATTTTTGAGCAAACACATCGCAACATCTTCTAAACCAGGCATCCTCAAAGTCCGGACTCCGGTCCAGATCTGGACCGAACCACAACTGTCTCTGGACTCTGAGCAAATTATACTTTTCATATGTATTATCTGTATTATCTGTGTTATCTGCGAGACATCGCCACAACGCAACGAGTCAAAATGATACGCTATGTCCATAGACTGCAAACAGCGCTCTGCATGTCCTGTTCCACTGTCTGTGTGTGTCTGTCAACGCATTGGTCCAATCACATTCAGCATCCCGTCAGCATTTTTTCCCCCCAAACAATCTGCGAATCAGAGGCACAGTAGGGCGGGTCTTCGCGGAATGCGGGTGGGAAAAATGTGTGTCTCGTCCATAGACTGGTCTCGTCTTTTTCAACCTGTCTGAGTCAGAGCGAGATATTAAAAAAAAAAAAATTCAGAGCGAGAGTTAACAGCTCATCTAGTTCCATCTGTACTGTAGCTAGTAGCCTAGTTTCACCTACCGGGGTGGCAACTGACACCCTAAGAATAGGCCTTGCCACCCCAGCTGCCACCCCAGTTGGCAGCTTTGTTTTGAAAGAAAAGTTGTGGCTCATCGGACATTTATGAGAGAAAGTCTCTAATGTCCGAGTGCAAGTGAATGCAGCACAAGATGCACGTCATGTAACCCCTCCCCCGGTCCTGGCGCGAGCATGGACATATGATTGGCGGCGATTTCATTTGAACGGGACAGCGCAAAACGAGAAGCATTCGGACCCAAGCACTGAAGGAATGAGGTATTTGCGGTCTACACTGACAGAGAAGAGACTGTCAGTTTGGCTGTACTCAGCATTGAATCAAAATGCACTAAAGCTGTTGATCTTAATACGTTTGTGAGGCGTTTTGCTGAACAAGATGGTATTCGCCACATTCATCTGTAATAGACATGTCAACTTAATGCTATGCTCACGGATGAGAATACAAAACTGTTAAGATGATGACCTTACGTGTGTAAATATATATTTTTCTTTGAGGGGGTCTGCCCCCTCAAAAAAAACAGTTTTAAGTCCTGAGAAAGTCAAATAAGACGGTGTGTAAAACTACACTCCCCAGCCAAAAAGAAGTAACCACTTTGATTTAACTAGGCCAGTAGGTAAGGACATTCCACTGCACAATAACTGAAGTATAAAATAATGCATGACTGAAGTGATGGAGACCATGTTGAAGGCAAACAAAAAGAGGAAATAACAGGTAAAATCAAGCAAATCCCCCACTCAGATTCCACAGCAACCAGAAGAACATAAATACTGGCTGGTGATTTGATTAATCAGCTTTGTGATGGAATAAAAAATGCACAGTGCATTTCCTTAGCTGTGCGAGTCCACTGACACCACTGACAATGCTCAGTTGCTGGTGTTTGTGAGTTTTTATGATGAGGCAAAGGGGGAGTTTGTTGAAGATGTGTTGGGCCTGACGAACCTCAGTGGACGCACAAGGGGGCAAGACATTTATAAAGCAATAATGGGAATGATGAATGAAAGAGGGTGCAGCTGCCTTTATTCATAACTGTGCAGCTCTTACACTGCGACTCTGAGGGGTCAAGCACAGACACAATAACAATGAAAACTGCTGCATACAGATTATTTTTGTTTTTGCAACCTCGTGTTAAGAATCTTGTTGCAATTGTTTAAAAGTTTGAATGACCGTAATAAACGGACCTTTGTATTATTGAAACATTTATTTTGGACCTTTAAGATTTGTATTTGAGTACCCCTGTTCTAAACCATCGGAAGGCCAAGCAACACTTCAAACTGTGAGTAATTTAAGGAAAGAAACGAGTTAGAACTGTCTGTTTAAGGCGTCTAGTGGCTTGGTGGAAAAACAAGGAAGGAAGCCACGACATTGTTAAAAACTCTCGTGACGGACAAATCCGTGTGGAATTAAATGGTTACCACCATATTATTATAATGAATGAAATACTCTTGGAAATGAATGGATACGAGTGGATGTGAATCGTGAGTTTACAAATCACGGACTTCATAGTGAACAAGGAAGGACCGCATTGACTTTCTGGATTGTGACAACGTGGCTTTCTGTGGAAAAAGGCTTGTGCCTCATGTTGTGGATGTTGCAATACAGTATAATCTAATGCTGGAAGTGGAATAAATTCACTTATGAATAAAGTGTGGAACTTAACTCAAGGAGCGCATCTTGAAAAGCGCTTTAATAAGTTTGTCTATCTGGCTTACTGCCGCGGATCCAAGCCGCACACTAACAAAGCGCAACATTAAAATAAGGACAG